GAATTAGTAATTATAACTTGGGACTAAGGTCTCTATAGTTTATACTATTTCACACCTTTGTAGAGTAACAATGAATGGGCAAAGGCTTTCCCATTGCTTTGTGAAGGGACAGTATCCAGTGTCACCACCATGCTGAAACGAGATGATTTTGAACACTGTGGAATGCTTATGAGTTTTCTTCCAGGTGAAGCCTGGACAAAAATTCCATTTCATTCCCTGACCAGGGGGACAAGAGATCATGGTGACCCATGGTCTCAAACTGCTGCCATGAGCCATAACTTAATGGATAGTTGAGGCCCAGTGAGGTTCTGAGCCAATTCTTTGGTACACAAATTATTTGGTAAGAGAAGTACGAGAGGGAAAGAGGCCCCAGAGAGGAAATAGTTACAAAAACCTATCCACCAGGTGAAGGAAGGGAGGAAGCATGGTTAGATTTCTGAGAAATATTTTATGAACATTCCTAGACTATAGCACCAATAGTGAATCATGCTGGTGGGATACCTCCTGCACTCTCATGCCTCCTGATTATGCAGGGGCTTGGGCAGTGTCCTTACCAGTGTATGATCTTTTCTCTATTAGATTTTGAAAGTAGCCTATGTGGGATAAAAATCAATATCCTTAGTTTAGAAATGTCAAAAGCAGGYTCCTATTTGAAGTAACTTGTCAGAGACTCAACACCTAGCAGGAATGAAGGTTGGGAGTCAGAGCCAGGTATAGCTGTAGAAGTACATTGCCTTTATTAAGACTCTATACAGTGATGGAACCACATGTGAGCTGCTTTTCTTCGGGCAAGTACAAGTGCTGAAAAGCAGTTCCTGCCATAAATGCATACACTATCTAAGCTGTCTGGGAGTGAGTCACTCAGTGGTCCTGTGGAAGATTTTCAGTGCCCTCAAATAGCAAAAGATCTGTTTGGTCTTGGCCAASTTATTTTGCCTCCTTTTCCCCTCTATGAAAAGGGAGTTTCTTTGTGTGTCAGTGGAATCCTATAAATAAAGTGTGTAATATAGTCATAGGTACATGGAAAACTCTCAAGAAATGTGGGTTATTATTGTTTAACTTCAAAACTAGACAGATTGCAGAAGATGATCTCTGGGGACCACAGGCAGTGGAAATTACAGGTTATGACATGGTTTTAGATAATCAAGTGGTGTTTCTGTGTGTGTGTGTGTGTGTGTGTGTGTGTGTCCCCAAAAGAAGAGACCTAATTTGGACCAGGGCAGGTAGGACATAAAAGCAAGACCAGGTCACCAGGAACTCAGAATTGGAGAAGACGGGGTGTTGGGAAGCACAGGCCAAGGAATATGTGCAATGATGCTTGCAGAGACAGACTTAGCCTTGACTCAAGGAAAACACAGGTTCATTTTCAGTTATGCCAATTGCTCGTAGGACCTTCTAAGTATTCAGGCAGATGGCCACAAGGAGAATGYGGTGGGCATAGAAGAAGGGGGGCTTGATTCTGAAATGAAGTGTTGGGTCCTTAGGTTCTCACAACCAGACCTAGAACCTGAGCTCCTCTTCTTGGGAGAGAACCTGAGAACCAGGTTTGTCAATGCAATCGAGGTTCAGTTTCCTGTGTCTCCTGAGGCAGGCTTTGGGTTGTACTGATTTAGTGACTCAGTGGTCAGATATAAAGCTAATGAAATGTTTTGATAAAGAATATTCTGGTACTAACATTTACCTCTTCTGTATACATCAAGTACAAATGTGAAGTTTACATCTGGGCCAATGTTGGCAGAGTGAAATAACCCATAGGAAGACATGCAATATAKATGGTAAGCAATGGAGTGGTGAGAAAACAGCAATTTTTTTTCCTTTTTATTTTTTTTCTATTTTTCAGATTTCCAGCTATGATAAAATATTTCTTTGGGGGATAAAAACCTATTGCCACCAATTGTGTTATAAAAACAGATTTTTTATTTTGTTGCAGCATTCACAATTATTTCAATTGTTATTATCACTCTTATTATTGATTATTTAATAAAATCTGCATGAAATCTGCAACCACACAGTTTTTAAAAAACTTTTTTTTTCTTCTGTCACATTACCTGGTATAACGTTTCTGTGCTTGCCTCCAGATGGAGTAGGCCATATTCATCATGTTAGACACAAATATAAAAACTATTGAGACACCACACTTGGTTGGGCAAGATGCAGCCCAAGAGGAGCCAGGGTGGGCTTACTAGGCCTTTAGCAAGGGTCAGTAGATTCTCAACAAGACCCTCAGGGTTTCCAGTAAAGAGAACCATKGGGTTGAATGAGGGAACACATGTGCTCCCAAAATTGTTTCAAGCAGCTGTAGTCCCCAAGTAAACCACTCTGGTGGACACAGACATCAGGCTGCTTGGGGTGGCCATGCAGAGGGTGGTAAGAACAGAACAGGTCTCACAGGGACCCTGTGTGAAGATCCAAATGCTAAGTGTGGGACCTTGTTGACTGACTCCTGGAATCTGATCTTGAGATTTTATTTGTCAAGTGTGTGCTCATGCTGAATGTCAAAGTTGTCTTTATTGTAAAAATGGAGTCTTTYRTCCCTTTTATGAAAAAGATGTTTTTGTTTGTTGATCTACAGCACATCAAACAGTGGAGCTTAACTCAAAAGKAGGTCCTGACATCAGTCCTCACCATTTTCCAGTCTGTCTGCCTGTTTCTTCTACCTCACACCTACTAAAAGTTCTGCTTTTAGTTTAAAGAGGAACTTCCACAGGATTTTCCATAATGACTACATTAATTTATGTTGATATGAACAGTGTCTGAACAATTTCCTTTTCTCCACATCCTAAACAGCACCACTGGTCTTCTGATTTTTACTTAATAGCTTTCCTAACACATGAGAAATTTGGAACACCTTTAAAAAAAATCATAGGTAGTGCACTATAAATTCCCACAGGGCTAGACACTTGAATACAGAAGAGAGGTCTTGTTCCAGGGGGCTTCTCTGCTACACATTGTGAAGAGGAGAAAAGAAATGCAGGTGACTTCTTCAATATCACAAGACAAGGAATAGCTGAGGGAGGATTGGAACATCTACTCTGTTATGGTAAGATAAGAGGATACCCCAAAAGTTTATGATGTGTGAGACAATGCAAGCGTGGTTAAAAGAGAAATAGTTGAGTTACCAGAACCTTAACCTAATCARAGTGTTAATCCCTTGATAAAGATTAACTGGGGGAGGGGGCTGTAGACAAATAGGGTGTTTCTTAGGGAGTGGGGTTATTAGGAGCAACCCTCTGGGGTTTATATTTTGTYTGTGGTGAGGGGAGCAATAGAGCAAAACAATTTACCTATCAAAAATCATTATGATTATAAAGCTATGGAAATGAAAACATTGTGCTCCTGTCAAAGGGATACAAAAAGTAGGGACTCAGCGCACTTGTCAAGTTGAGGGTGTTCACATATAGTGACTTGCCTCTGGCTGCATCCTGAGCAAAGGTGGCCAATGGACAAGCAGACGTGCACAGTGGAAAGGAGAAAGCAGCAAGGGCTATATTAGCACATGCCTCATTCACCAACGCAAAGGTGGTGCTGAGAAATGGTGGGGTAGCAGGCATCACACAGGAATTTAGGGGAAAAATTGGCTCTCCACATAAGAGCCCCACCTTCCCCATACACAAGTACTCAATTTCTGGAAGATGAAAGAAATCAATGTGCAAAATCATCACACTCTTGGAAGGATACAAATGTGTTTATGCTTCAAGATGAGGGACAGGMTTTATTAAGGTAGGAAATGGTTACCAGKKGGTCCCTGGCAGAGCACAGCAAGTTAACACAGGAGGACACAATACTTTCTTCCTGAGGTCACAGGAAGAAAAGGAATGAAAGTTTGACCTGGTTGTGGATGAGCAGCCAGGGATGGCAAAGGCAGCACAGAAAGCTGAGATCAGAGGAAGGTGTGGGKGTTAGGAGGGAGCCCAGGAGCAACTTTGTAGAATAGCTGAGTATGTCAGGCTGGGGACAGTCCCTCCTTGTCTTACCTGTTGGGCATCAGTGATTGCAGGTCAGTTTTAATGTTCCAGCAGTGGGAGTTTTTAAAAAGTGTACATTCCCAGCTTCCATTCCTAGTTTCAACTCATTGTGCTGGGTTCTACCTGCACTTTTTTATTAAAAACATCCCAGTTCCTTTGATGTAGGTGGTCATATTCAAAAACCTCTAGAGAACATAATGAAGTATTAGATACATCTCCATTAATGTTAGGAATATGAAAGAGATGTTTACAATCATGAGTGACATTTAGATAGTCTGAAGAATCTCAACCTTAACAATTTGGTAATGTAAGATGAAGTCAGAAATTGAAATGAAACAATTATGACTGTAGGCATGAAGTCTTCATGAGGCCTAAATATTTCATTCTACCCTGTCTCATAACCCTGAGTAATGAATCAGAGTCATACCCAAATATTATCTGTAGATCCTGGTTGAATAAATKACACCATACAACAAGCCTTCCACAATGCTCTCCTAAATGTCACCTCAAGGTGATCAACCATAAATGACCTTSTGTTCTTAGCAGATTGAATGTTCCTCTACTAGGCTCTAGGAGAGCTGAGAGAATGATGCTGTCATCCAGGATGCTTGACCAAGGATGAGASATTGGTTTGGGAGTCRGTTAGGGGCAATGTAAAATGTTGAGGGGGTACTGAGATAGACATGGTGAGGTACCCCTTCCTTGCTTCATGAAATTCACAGATGATTACCACATTTGAATCCAGGTGACTGACAGCATTCTCCATTCCAAACTGGAAGATATTTGACTGCATACAGGGATAACATCAACAAAAATTAATGAGTACAGGGCATATGAATTCTTTACTAAGGCTTGCCAATGGGGGAAAAATACACCCCATGAATATCTATGACACATAATTACCAGGGTCTGTATGGCTAGAAGTAGGGCTAGAGCCCACAGCATAAATAGGATGGGACTTAGGCTTTSAGCTTATGATTTCCCTGTGTTCAGTTTATAGTGAGGCCAGGGGCAGGAAATGGGATGGGGGCTCATCTAATTGTGTACCAAGGTGCAGACATAGCAACCTTTTGARTATAGATAAAGGCAGGTCTGAACCACTGTGCTAGTCCAGTAGGCACAGTAATAGACAGCAYCGTCACTTTCCTCCACATTTCGTATTGCTAATTTACATCTCCCATCTGTGCCTTTATAAGCATCATATTTTACCAAAGTGCTTTCTGAATCCCGTACAACTTTGGAATTTACAAAATCATAGTAGAGAAGGCGTCGTGGGGTTAGCCCTTCTTTGAATTGATACCAGTGGATGTAGGTACWTGATAAATCACAAGTGATTACCACATATGACCCAGGTGAACTTGTGACTGACATCATTCTCCYTTCCAAACTGGAAGATGTTTGACTGCCTGGAAKGGWAACAACAATAAAAATTAATRGCRAAGAGGTAATGGAATTCATTGTTTTGGCCTCTTTRGGGGAAAACAATATCCCATGGGCAYCTGTGCCACATACTTACCAGGAGGTAGGATGGCTAGAAGTAGGACTAGARCCGACTGCATGCCTTCTTCCCTGGGGCTTAGAAGGAAGAGGACGAGATGATAAGAGGAGAAGAAAAGCCTCAGCTGATCCTCCTGAATGAGTCAGAGGCAGGATGAAGTAACTGAGAAGCTGCCTGAGAAGACAACCCAGCAATTTATCCAGAAGGGGTGGTGCTGGGAGGAGCCCCTGCCTCTCTGCTTCTGCCCATTTTTCACACGCCCCCCTGTGGCCTCTGAGGKCAGGCTCTGCAGAGGAGAAGCCAGGAGCCTGGAGAATTCAGAGCTGAAGCAGGTTGAGCACAAGCATGATGGGTGGCTGAGCCCTRGATGACAAAGTTTCTCTTCTTGAACTTCACATCTCTGAAGTTTAGAGTTTTCATGTTGCTGCTGCAGCCATGGTCATGTCCTGAAATGAAAGTTCTTTATTATGGCCTGAACTAACTTCAGTTATATCTATACGTTGTCTTTGGGATAACCACCAACTGCAAATCTGATAAACCTTGGATCTATTTTATGAAAAGCATCTGGGGATGTTGGCTGCACTACTCAAAATAGAATGGATGTGTGTGGAAGGTGAGCGTCAGTGCAAGAACATGAAGCTACCACAGGACGAGCTCTGAAAGCAGAGGGTCCTAAGTCTCATGCAGGATGACTTTGCAGGTCCCAGCRTACTCCATTGTCAGTCAGTTCATATTATGATCCTTCCTCTGTTCATTGAGACTGGATATGACCTGTAAATTAATAATTTGAGGAAAGTCAGGAGATGGATCATAATGGAAAGACTGACTGCTTTATACTTTGAAAGACAGAACCTTATTTGTCTCAGGAGTCATGTTGAATATATATACCTAGAAGCCCCTGAAAACACCACTCTGCAGGAAGGTGGAGGACTTACCTAGAAACAATAAGGTCTAGAAGATGACAAGGCAACCTAGCATGGCTACGTGTCCTGACCGGGGTAGCCTTTGAACTCAAACTRCTGCCATGATCCACAATTCAGTGGGTTTTTGAAGTCAGGTTAGATCCTGAGCCAATTGTCTGGTAGAGGGATTTAATTGGTAAGTGGAAAAAGAGAGTAAAGAAGAGGCCCCAGAGAGTGGGGATAGATACTCAAATGTATCTACAAGGTGAAGGGAGGCAGTATACATGGTTAGATTTCTTAGAAGTGTCTTATGAACATTCCTAGACTAATTAGCAGCATAAGTTAGAAATTCTGGTGCGGATACCTCCTGCACTCTTATACCCCCTGAGTGTGTATAGCCTTGGACCATACCATTATTACCTTATAGTCTATTAGATCTATTAGATTCTGAAAAAAAAATAGCTTAATGGGATAAAAATCTATATTCTCAGTTTAGAAATGTCAAAAGCAGRCTGTTATTTGAAGTAATTTGTTAGAGATTGAATACCTAGGAGGAATGCAGGTTGGGAGACAAAGCCAGGTATAGCTATAGAAGTATTTTGTTTTTATTAAGATACTCTACGGTGATGGAACCACATGTATGCTGCTTGCAAAAACAAACACTGAAAAGCAGTTTCTGCCAAAATTTCATCCTCTGTCTAAGCTGTATAAAAGCATGTCACACAGTGGTCCTGTGGGAGATTTTCAGCGTCCTCAAATAGCAAAAAAGCTGTTTGGTCTTGGGCAAGTTATCTTACCTCCTTTTTCYTCCTCTGTGAAAAGGAATGCCAAGGAGTCATTTTGTGTGTCAGTGGAGTTCTGTAAATACAGAGTGTAATACAGTCATAAATACATAGGAAAAAACTCAAGAAATGTTGGTTACAATGGTTTAACCTAGAAATTGGACAGGTTGAACTAGGTGATSTCCCARGAYCACATGCATTGGAAATCAYAGATTTYGAGATAGTTTCAGATAATCATCTTTGTATGTGTGTGTGTTTGTGTGTGTGTATCYCTCAAAGAAGAGTTATAAATTGGACCAGGGCATAGGTAGGACATAAAAGCAAGACCAGATCACCARGAACTCAGAACTGGAGAAGACAGCGTGTTGGGAAGCACAGGCCAAGGAACACTTGAAATGATGCTTACAGAGACAGACTTAGCCTTGACTCCAGGGGAAACACAGCTTCATGTTCAGTCATGCCAATTGCTCCTAGGACCTTGTAAATATTCAGGCAGTTGGCCACAAGGTGAAGGCGGTGGGCATAGCAGGAGGGGCTTGGCTCTGAAATGAAGTGTTGGGTCCTTRGGTTCTCACAACTAGAACCAGCTTGTGAACTCCTCTTCTGGGGTAGCACCTGAGAGCCAGGTTTGCCAAAATAATTGARGTTAAGTTTCCTGTGTCTCCAGAGGCAGGCTTTCAGTTGTGCTGACTTACTGACTCAGTGGTCAAATATAAAGCTAATGGAATTTCTTGACAAAAGAATATTCGGGCACTACCATTCACAGCTTCTATACACACCAAGCCTGAATATGAAATTGACAGCTATGCCAACAWTAACAGACTGAAATAATCTGTGAAAAGAAATTCAATGTAAATGGTACACAATGGGGTCTTGAGAATATGGCTTTTTTTTCTTTCTATTTTTCTCTATCTGATTTCTAGCTACAAAAAAAATATTTCTTTGGGGGATAAAAATTTATTGCTACCAATTGTGTTATGAAAATAAATTTTGTATCTTGTTATCTGCATTCACAACTGATTGTCTCAATTGGTATTATCACTCTTATATTACTTGATAAAATCTGCATCAAGCCTGCAACCACCCAGTCTTTTCAGGGACATTTTTTTCTTTCCTCCACTAGTTTTCTGGTATGACGTGACTGTGCTCTCTTCTGTATGATGTAGAGCATAATTATCTAAATTAGACATACATTTAAAAAGTATTAGGTTACCAGTTTAGTCAGGAAGCAGGCCAGGAGGAGCCAAGGTGGAACTTCCCAATCTTTAGCAAGTGTTGGAGGATTCTTGGCAAGACCCTCATGGTTTCCAGTAAAAAAAAAAAAAAAAAAAAAAAAAAAAAAAAACTTAGAATTTAATAAGGAACCACATGTGCCCACAAAGTGGATTCTCATGCTATTGTCCCAGAGGAAACCACTCTGGTGGAACTAGACCTCCAGCTGCTCGGGGTGGCCATGCAGGACCAGAACAGGACTCATAGGGACATGTGTGAAAATCCAAATGCTAGGTTTGGGACCTTGTTGACTGACCACCTGGAATCTGATTTTGAGATTTTAATTGAACTGTGTGCATGTTCATCACGAATGTTAAAGTTGTCTTTAATGTAATTATGCAGTATTTTTCCCCAGTTGTGAAATAGTTGCAGTTGTTTGTCGTGCTACAGCATATCAAACAGAGGAGCATAACTCAAAAGGTGGTCCTGACATCTGTCCTCCTTATTGACCCTCGCCATTTTCCACTCTGTCCAACTCTTTCTCCTACCTCACACATACTAGAAGTTCTGCTTTTAATCTAATGAGGAACATCCATAACATTTTCTACATTGTCTACATCAATTTACATTAAAACAAACAATGTCTAATGATTTCCTTTTCTTCACATCAYWAACAGCACCACTSGTCTTCTGATTTTTAGTTAATAGCTTTTCTAACATTTGAGAGATGAGCAACACCTTTTTAAAAAGACAATCGTAGGTAGTGAACTAGAGATTCCCACCTGGCTAGACACTTGGATACAGATGGSAGGTCTTGTTCTGGGGGACTCTCTGCTACTCATTGTGAAGAGGAGAGAAGAAATGCAGGTGACTCCTTCAATATCACAGGACAAGGAGTATCTGAAGGAGGATTGGAATACCCACTCTGTTATGGTAAGATGTGAGGTTCCCCCAAAAGCTCACATATGAGACATTGCAAGGAAAATTAGAGGTGAAATGGTTGAGCTATGACAGCTTTAACSTAATAAGTGTATTAATCCTCTGATAGGTATTAAGTGGGTGGTGACTATAGACAAGTAGGGTGTTACTGGAGGAGGGGCATCATTGGAAGCATGCCTGACAGTTTATATTTTGTTTGTGTTGAAAGAAGCCAGGCTGGGGACAGTCCCTCTTTGTCTTACCAGTTGGGCAGCAGTGAATACAGGTCAGTTTTAATGTTCCAGTAGTGGGAGTTTTTAAGAAGTGTACATTTCCAGTTCCCATTCCTAGATTCTGACTCATTGTGATGGGTGCTACCTGCACTATTTTTTATTAAAAGCAACCCAGTTGCCTATGATGCAGGTGATCAACTTCCAAAACCTCTAGGAAASAATGATGAAATACTAGAATTTTAATGGAAAGTAAAATTAGGAATAAGAAAGAGATGTTTATGATTGTGAGTGAYATTCACATCATCTGGAGAWTCTCAACCTGAACAATTTGTTAATGTTAGATGAAATCAGCACTTGAAATGAAAAAAAAGACAAAAATGTCATAATTTGATAATGATACTATTACAAACTAGAAAACATCGWTATAAACAAGCTTAATGCCAAAATTCCCCACATTTGTTTAATAGAATGTCAATACAGAAGCAGTAGTATTTCTATATCACAGYAATAAAGCAAAAGTTACCATGCATAAAGAGGCAAAAGTGTAAGATCATTAGGAATGAGTCTAACAATATCATATTCTGAATATTTGATGGAAAATAGTAGAAATGTGCTGAGAAAGTTAAACTGAAATATGAATATGTAAGCAGGGATTCTAAACCTGGAAGAAATGTCCACTCTGTGACCTACTTGGGTCTGAAACTCCTGCCCAATCCAGACTAAGACAAGGATGCCAGTCACTTCACTTTTATTAAATATTGCACCAGAAGACACAAACAGGGCATTAAGAATGCAAAATTGATAAAAGTTAGGAACGTAAAGTAGATATAAAACTGCCTTTGTTTATAGTTAACATGAATA